TTTTTTCAAAGTTGAACTTGCATTAATTTTACATGGCTTTCTAAACATGCGGCTCTTTTGTGCGAGACGCGAGTGCAACAGTAGTAGATGTCCGTCTAGAAAATGCGTGAAATATGCGTTCTGTGTGAACGGCTTGGTTTCAGTTTTGACGTAAACAAGATCTTCTCCGTATTGATTTTCTCTTTTCCTGCAATATTTGTAATTAACAATGCAGCAGCGCCGCATCTAGTGGCTTCAACTGGATAGGCTAACAAAAACATTATAATGCAACGACACTTACATCGGCATCGCATCTCGTGCGCCACTGATAAGGCTGCCTCCTTAACGCACACCTAAAATTCGAATGCAATGTTTTTGCATTCGAATGTGGATTTTTATTTTAAATTCGACGAATAGTCGAAATTCGAAAAAAAAAAATTGACAGCCCTAGTTTCCTGTAGTGTGTTTAGGCACATATTAGATTAGGATTTAGTGGCTTTAACAAAAGCCATGAATCGAAGGTTACCAATTACCAGTAGAGACCAACAGGCACCATTACAGTTTCCATTAAACCCAATACAATTTTCATTATAACCAGTAAAACATTACAAATTATGTGATGGTTTCAAACAAAAAAATTCGACAGAGGATTGAAATAAATGTATTATTGTATGAACTAAAATACTTGAAAGACTAATCACCTTATAGGCGACTTCATTTACTCTATTTTCTAACTCAATAGCTCTCAAATGTAACCAGTTGTAGAATCGCTGCTGTCTCTTTATGAATGAATGGAATATTCATGCCAGACAATGCGGAGTGATAAATAGCAGTGGACGCTTGGACTAGGGGTGTCCTGTGATTTTACTATAGTGCTATAGGGTACATGCTGTGTATAGTGAGAGAGGCGGGCAAAGGTAATCTGATGTAACTGTTTGCTTTTTTCCCTTTTAGCTTCTCCCAACTGCCTTTATCTTCATGTCTTTTGCTTGCCATCACGAGCCCTCTCTCCTTCGCATCAGTTTCGTTTTCTTATAAGCAAAAATATATTGCATTAGCGCCCCCTTTTGTCGGCCGTCAATGTCACTTGATCTGACACTTTTTCTTTGATGATGAACCAGCCAGGCCGATGGCCATCGGATGGATCGACGGCCGTTCTGGACTTCTCCAGAACGTCCAGATGGCCAGTCCACCCCTATTCATACCCTTAACTCAGTACTAAGCTGAAGCGCCTTTACAGCCCTTTGTAAGTCTTTAAAGTCTTTTTTGGGTATGATGTGACAAGCGTTGCTCATTAGCATTTGGCAATTATCTGCCATTCTTCTCCTCA